CTCACATTCACAAGGGCTACCGCTAAACAACCACCCTTGAAGCACTTTCACCGGTACTACGGGTTTGATGTCTTAGCATATCAGTTTTTGACGATAATTTTACACCGATAGTTAGATAATGTACTTTTAAGCTCATGGATCTCTTGACTAACGGGGCGCTTCTTTGAAATTGTAGCAGAAGTGCAAAGCTCTTCCACAGATAATTCTTTGACTCGGAAATTCCGCACAGAAGACAGGCAAAGCGGTCGGCACTGGAATGGAAATCTAGAGCTTCTCAAAAATATGTTGTAATTACACTTGCTCGGCTTGGAGAGTAATTTAGGCTAGCAAAGTATCTCTTAGTGCCGGGGTATTTAAAATTTTCACTCTTGTCAATGTTGTTCTGTGACTCACAGCCGAGCTCGTAAGTACAATAGAAAAGTGTTTTCGCGATTTGTACTGACACGGACAAAGGTGATGTAACTCCGTTAAAAAGTGACACGTCTGATGCTAGCCTCGGGTCGTGTAATGCATTTGATTCTATCATGGTAGATAATAAGATATATGTACACAAATGTTTAAGCTAATCGCAATAACAAAAAAATATGTCACATTAACATTAAGACGAAAAGAAGTACATCGCTTCCTGAAAGGCTCTCAAATTAGCTCCTGAGGGGAGCGTTCGAAGCCATCCTTAACTTGTTTGTCAACGCAGATCTTAAAGTCCCAGCATTCCTTTGTTCGATTCACGTTGTAAATATGACGACCTAATTTGAGTAAATTCACTCTTGTTATGAGGGTGGATCATGATATGCTACCTATGTGTCCTCCGGGCAACAGATGCGCTAACTAAGCTTCTGATTGTGATTGTTTCCACGGTTATAGTGCAAATGGCGGTGTAGGGTCCGAAGGGATTATTTTGGGCCGAGAGTCGGTTACGAGCTGCAAAGATGTACGTGCAAGTTCCCTAGAAGAATGTTTCATACAGGCGTCGGTGGGGGTATAATCAGCTCCTAGGACCGCTAGTGCCAAGCGTCTAATAAATGAGGGCGGGGGCATGGAATATGTATCTTTTTTTGGAAAAAATCAATTAGTTACGGATTCGTCCATGTTCTAAACCGAGCGTCAGTCCGTTGAGCTAGCGGTCTCCACGCTAGCAGAAATGCGCGCGAGATTGAGTATGGCTCTATCTATAAGAGAGTCATCTCCAACAGTGGCATATTAAAGCGAAATATATGGTAGATGCCTGAACCGCCTAAACAGGCGCATCGTATGAGCTATTCTTGTCTACCGTTAATGGAAGCGATAGCTGTCAAACTATGCGCTGGAGTACAAACCTTTAATAGTCAGAACAAGAATAGACTTTCTTACAAAAGCAACAACGATTGTCATCGTTTAAGAGGGTTCCCGTGCAGCTGTGGCTCGCACCGCGACCTTCGGCACCCACCGACTATCTATAATAATGCGGATATGTCGAGCACAGCTATCGTGTCAATCAGGCAGTGCGGTGGTAAGGGCTTATAGGCGCACCAAAGTCATACATCATGGGACGTTGCGTGGCCCTGACCTAGATACGATATACGAGCTCACCCTAAGTATTGCGTGACCGAAATGCAACGAGCCGTGGATCAACTGGAATTTGATTAGCATTGAGCACTGTATGCTTCGCGTTTGGGGAAACATTGGTGAGAAATTTAACCAAGTCTGCCAGCAAGCATAGTCGTTTTGGGTTCGGAATGGAGCTGCGATAGCTTTGGTGCAGAGAATAGGGCCGTCCAAGACTGTCGGCAATGATTTTACTAGCGGCAATTGGGCTTAGCTTCACGGGGAGTGAACCCCGCTCTCCACATGAGTTGGAGAATAGCGATCATAATTCGCAGTATTGATAATGTATAACTGCTGAGATCGATTAGCCTAGCAGTATATTGCCTCTCTTTTAAATAAAGTCTCAAGGTGGATTAGTACACTTGTGTGCTGCGGTATCCAGAGCAAGGCATGGTGACGACAGGCGACTGTACGTCGCATGTAGAAACGACAGGTTCTTGCGTAATTTAGTATGTAGATCCTTGTTGTGACGTCATGGTAGCGATATTGTGTGATGCGCCTGACAATAAAGCTCCATAAAGTCTCATTAAATACCTAAGACAGAGCTTCTATTGAGCTTGTAGAATTGTTCCTTGGGGATTTGAGCAAGAAAAAGCACGACGGTGAAATCATTGACTGCGTAAAACTTGTACCGGAGACGTTGCTGAGCTCATTCGCCATAAAATTAATGCTTCGTCAAGACTTTGGTGTATGGTGAAAGCTTTTCACCATGGAATCTACGGAGTCTCTTTATTTCTTTGCTGAAACATAGTCAGGATGTGAACGAGAGTCCCACCGCCAGTGCTACATTCGGATAGGTAAATGCTTTACATAATTGACTGACAATATTGTTCAATGGCTCATATCAAAGTATCAGTGTTAGCATTCTGTTGTGCACACGAAGCGAGTCTAGTGAGATATGGTAGAAATACGCACCAATAAAAGATAATTACTGCCGAGCAACAGTATCAATTGAGCATTGTTCAGTGCTAGTGACATGGCTTACAAGTACTATCAACTACTTACTAGAAACCATTACGACCCTCTCACTGCAGTTGTACTCTATGCGGAATGGTGGTCATTCCAGAGAGACGGGCTAACGCACTTCCGAAATTATATCGCCTGGTGGCACAGCTATTTCGGCCGTCTTGCATACGCACAGCCCTACATCGACGATATAGTAGTACATTGTGTATAGCCCAGAGCCACTTTTCATGAATGAAAAATAAGGAAGCAATTTCGCTTGGTGTTAACTTCGTGGAATTGGCACGGCCATTCGCCCATTCCCAAATCAGATGTCAAATGGCGTTGGTGTGAGCAGAACAGCCATCTTTGAGGGTGTAAAAGAGGGCTACATGCATTATCGGATGCTGGCCCTTGCAACACCGGATCAGTCAATTTGTATATCTACGCGCTTTGGCTTTTGCCGTAGATTAGGCTTCATTCAAGCCGACATAAATAAGTATGAACACGTCATGGATTTTGCGGCTCGCCAGCTTACAGCGGCAGAGAAGAATAGTCATCTTTCAAAAACGAGCAACCTGCTATGAATTATGATTTTGTGAAATTTAAGGTACATCCGCTTGGCATTAAGCCATTTGTTATCGGTACACACCATTCGGTATTATCGCTGTGCGCGACGCAAAAGGAAAAAAAATTATTTTTTGTCTCTCACCGAGAGTGGTGGGATGTCAGGATTCTGTGATGGTTGAATATTAGCCGAGTTGGCTTAATTTAGGGGTGTCGTGTTGATTGCTTAGTTGCGTAAGCCTTTCGTGCTCCAAGACTTCTAGAATAATAGCACTGACGTTTTCGGCACTCTGCTGGTAGTATTACCTCACAAAAGGGATTCAGGTATAGAATAGTGTAACAGACATATGCATCAGCAATTTATTTTACTGCTGCATTCGTCGGTACACTTGACCAGTCGATCGGTCTCGGTAGCATGTTAATTGCTCTTATTTATGGATTTTATCTTTGGTCTTTTGGATTTTTCGTCCGGAAATACGCTGTTGTAGACCATCTGAGTAAAATGGCTCCTCTCACATCCTTCAGCGACACCATAACCGGCGAAGATGCAACCAAGCTGTTCCGCAAAGAGGTTTATGACAACAATGGCTTATCAGTGCTCATTTCCTCGGATTGAAATCCGCGCTTTGTAGAAACTTTCGGCGAGTTTTATAGTGTGCCTGGCGTAAGAGGCAAGGAAAGTTTGTGCGGCACGAAGCACTCTCGACGGACCCTTAATTGAAGGCTGGACAATATTTTTTGGCACGTTTATTGCAACCAGGTTGCCGTGCACAATGCACAGAGAAAACTTTGACTTACAGAGTCCGCGTCAACTAACGCATAATTGCTCTGTTCGTGCGCTTCTCCCAAGAGCGAAATCTGGAACCTCTAAGCTGCAGCACTTTTATTTTCATAAACTGTGTTTGTTATCGATGTGCGGTTAGCAGCCCACGAGTACCTCGGACCACTCCTTGTCTAAGTTCCATCATCAAAATAATATTGATATCCCACTATATTTACGTGCTCAAAATTAAACCGAATGTATTAATAATAGGAGTAAAGAGCCGTAATGATAACCTCGAATAAGTCAAACCCATTGATTATTCTACAAGAAGTTGAACTAAAAGATCGCTCCTGTACGCGAAATGACTGAACGACCCCCGCAAAAAATAGCGCCATCTTGATATTCGATGCACTTTGAAAGAGAGTCTTGATGAGGACGTCGTGGTAATATCCGATTAGAACGAGCCCAGCACCAATCTGACTCACGACCAAGCACTTCTGCCTCATTCGACAACACCCAACATATATGTTCCCCGAGGAGAAGATGCTCATTCCGCTCAGCCTCCCCGTTGCGTGAGTCTCAAAGCTCGTGCCCTTTTCTATAAGTGTAAAGGATGTTTAAACCTCACAGTAAAATTCGTGATGTCCCGCTCGTTACCAACGGATCGGACTTTACCTAATGAACCAGCTTGCGTCATCGAAGTTCTGGTGCAAAGCTTTCACACGCCTATGCTTGCGATACACCCACTTGCACCCAAGGCAAGCCAAGAGCAAGAAAATCGCTCCGTGAGTGATTTCTCGACCCATAGTCAGTCACTTATCAAGAGGATCGTCTGTACTTGAACCAGCAGCAGCTGGAATACCTTTACCTTTAATTTTGAACACTAGAATCTGGTGACAGTGTGTCTGGGTATAGGACCCAATTCGAGCGCTTAGTGAGATAAAACACCACTGACTACGTCTTAGGGTCTTACAAGCCTGCGTCCGCGAAGCGGACGTCCGCCTAGAGAGGAAGCTTATTACTTTGCAAAGCCTAAAGCACGACGCCGACATCGAAATAACAACACATTACCTCAAGATTTTGCTGCTAACAGCAATCAATTAAGTGTTTTCCAACCGCAAGGTTCGTCGCTTCCCACTAACATGAAGCGCACTGCGGTGCGCAACACTTTCTCCTCTAAAAGGAAGATAGGATGCACCAGGTCATCAGCGGCCACGGCACCAGAGCGATCTTGCCGAATTGGAGTCTTGAACTCACGTAACTTTCCAATATGAGGGTACCTCTTCCACTTTACCAAGTACTAGTAACAGTCTCGTTGTATTCTCTGGTCCACCAAACGTTCCATGCGAAGTAAGCCACCCCTACGGATCAATTTGTGCTGGTGGAAGCCCACCTTCTGGTGTTTGGGTCTCATGAGCTCAATTGATTGTAGCGGTACGACTACATTCTCCGAGAGTCACGGTGTGCGTTCAAGGCTGAGACGGGTTAAGCTCTGATTTGCTCTCTGGGCTTCGCCACTGCACTGTCTACCCTCAGCGGTTCAGAACCGCATTGCTGCTTAGCCTGCAACAGAGTATTCATATGCGACTGGTTCAAAATATTGGGGCTGTAGTAAGGCCTTAGAGCGGCCACATAGAATGCTGGATGTTTTCGTAACCTCTTTGAGGGGACTTCAATAGAGTCTTCTTATGCGACTGGTTCAAGATACTGGGATTGTAGTAAGGCTTTAGAACAGCCACATAGAATACTGGATGTTTCGCAACCTCTTTGTGGAAATCCCGAATAATAAATATCCCTAATTGCAACCATGAATGGTCTGATGTTGCGCGGTCACAACTTAGTCCATTTGACCGCGGGCGCTGCATGTCTCGGAAGGTTAAATGCACCTAAAATTACGTTTCTTACAGCACATTCTTGTGTTTTCTGCTTGCTCCGGGTTCGGATTGTTGCCTCTGTGTTTCTTGGCTTTCAGCAAAAGCGTCACGAATTCTGTACACGACACTCACTATTGATAAAACGCTGATTTTGATGGGATAAGAAGCTGGGTAAATATAAGCAATTCGATTTTGTTCAACAGCCACTCCTTTCTTAATCGTAGCCACAATGTGGCGGTGCCAATATTACCGCGGGGTTTATCAATTCTCTCATTATATTGGAATGAAACTCATTGAGTCGTGTGCTGCGTGATTGAACGCAACACGATGTGCAAAAGCAACTGGCTACAGGTGCAGCGATCTCTCTGTGCAAGTGATTCGGAGTATTTCCTACGTAACGCGATTCAGCCGCTATATATTTCCATGAATTGTTACCGGCTGACATATCACGTCACGCGCCGAGCACCTTAGACAGTTTTTGCCGAAACTTCGCAGTTAATCGTGGATTTCCATCCCTCGAGAATGGTCAGTGGTGACATATTCAATCTGATGCCGAGCACCTTGAACGCCTTTACAAAAGTTTCACTGTGAAGCTTGGATCTCTATCCAATACATCGGGGACCGGCAAGCCTCTGGTAAAGCCCTTTGTCAAGGTACAGCTTGGTTGTATCCTCATTGGTCACATTATAACTGATGACAGCGAGATAAAGCATCTTGCCCAAACGACCACATTACTGATATTACTGATCGCGTCATTGAAAGATCATAAACAAAGTCCATACTTATAGACTTCAGCACCCCATCAGATGCGGAGAGGGTTTTACCCGTTGACTCGTTTCATACGGCCGCACAAATGTGCATACATACTTATACATATTAGGCCACGAATACATAGCGCTCGCCGAGCAGTATCTTTTTCTCTTTCCAGAAGTTCCCAACAGAGTATCATGTGCCTCGTACCGTATTCTCTGTTGAGTGATATGTGATTTAATGCTGTAATTAAGCAAGCTTAGAATAGAGCATAACGTGCAGTCGCGCAACCGTACGCTTCGATATACTACATCTGAGTTCGTAAACAATTTCTAAAACATTCAGCAGCGCGACACATGTTCCATCTGACCGAGCGCTGTACGCATCTGTATCACCTTCTGTATCGCCTTATCAATTGGCGAAATCTCCATTGTAAAATGTGATGTCTCATAGTTGGGGCGAAGCAGGAGTTTATCCACCAATTCACTATGCCGACCTGTTCTATACCTCACCTTAAAATCATACTCGGCAAAAAAGGATGGCCATTCTGTGATGTGACGATGTCTCGGTACGCAATAATGCATGATCTGATAGATCACAACGGTCTAGAGCTAAGCAGATACGCACTATTAATACTGTTTGAAGTTGCAGAGGCTGAAGTGTTACAGATGACTCGGGATGGGCAACTCAACTTGGAGCGATTCAGAATCGCGTAACACATGAGGCTTTATCTCGTAGCCGAAATGCTGTCTCTTTTGCTACCTAACCCGTACAAGAAGATTGGCGAGGAATCGTTTCTTGATGGCAAAGTTTGCACTGCACATATGCAAGCATACGCCATGTGATTCCACTTCCCCAACGCTTTGGGTCGCGAAGGTTTTGGTCAATCTGCAATGACATCTCTGTTTGTGGGATCTTCTCGGAAGCCCTCTTTCCCAATAAAGCAATCACTAAGGAAATGTCCGTCGATGCCAAAGCCACACTTGCTCATATCGTCGAATAGCTTATATCAGCGCATACACCTCAGTTTTGTTCGCAAATGTTCAATGTGAATCTCCAAATCCTACTTGACGTGCTTTACACGTCGTTGAATGAATAAATCATCGAAATAGGTTTGTACATAGCCACAAAGTGGCCTGAACAGCTGTGTCATCAGCCAATTGAACATTGCTGGCACAATAGACAATCGCTGTGGCATAACTAACTACTCCCGGAGCATCTTGCTTGAAGTGCTCACTGCAGTGCAAAAAATGTCGCTGTATTTAATCAGTA